AAGCTAAGTGAAATAATTTTGAAAATTGCTGTTAAAAATCTGCCCAAATTTCCAAAGGGTTTTAGAGTGTCAATATCATATCAATTAACATCATTTTGTGGAGGGTTGCTGGGCGATAAACGTTTCTACTAATAAATTAGCAACACGCACGTCCATCGCATTTGCAGCAATAATAGGAAATGTTGCTTGATATTGGATGTTTGGTAGTGTGAAAAAGTTGCAGCGGGAAAATGGGGCGTATGTGCATATAAACCAAATACAAACCTTTTGCATAATATTAATAGAACGTATATTCTATTAGTGTTTAAATGGTGAAATTTCCACATTTAGAATAGTTACTAGAGCGAAGAGTTTGGAAGCATACAAAATAATTTTAATACGTACAGTGTACATTACACACAAAAGTCGATGCATCGAAAAAAATACATCGATATATCGATATATATCGGAAGGTCCAAAACATCGGTTTTAGTCGGTTGAGTTTATTAAAGCAATGGATGTATGTATATTAGGGATACCAGTAGAAAAAAAATATACGATGCATCGAAATGTACATCGATATATTTAGATACATCGAGGGACATACATCTATACAAAGATTTGCATAGGATTTTTCGGATAATGTTTCACAACAAAATATGTTCTTAGCAAAATTGTACAAAATTTTAAATAAATTACTGCAACTGAGCTAATTATGTTTATAACGCAACTTTTTGGAGCCGTTTAAATTTGTTTGTTAAAATGACTTCTCTTTTGTACAATTGAAAAACTGGAATGACGCGTCATGATGGTTTAAGTTTTCAAAAAACATCGATGTATCGATACATCGAGTGCAAAATTTTCGATGCATCGAAGCAAAACGCCGATATTTTCGATGCATCGATCTTTTTTCGACATCCCTAATGTATATTACATATTTCGTACTTACAACATTTTTCTATTGAAGGGTTGAATTATTTTAAGAAAGTATTCAGCACTTCGATTATACTAATTTAAATTGCAAACTCAAGTTTGTGCTTTCCTTTTTTCGCAAATCTTTCTATTATTCTTTCAGTGTCAATTCTAATATCTAAGTTTATGTATAAAAGTGCTACACCTGTCATCTAGATACTACAAAGCAATGGTTTAACCGGCCAAGGGTTGAATAAATTCTTTCTGAAGTAGCGTTACTACGAGTAGCTTCAATTTTGGCCAGATTGCACAAAAGTGGGCTCCAAATAAAAATACATTCTAAAATGAATTCCAGGGAATTTCTTAAATTTGTAAAAAGTAATTGCGGCCAAAAATTAGTTAAAATGGAAAAATGTGTTGTAAATGTTATATATGTATTTAATTTACGAATCTATTCGAAGGGTACAATAAAGTCGAATGTAAATATAATTTAATTTATTGATCTCTATGTATACACAGTGGTGGAAGAAATAATAGAACCTTTTTATTTTGCCCAGTTTTGCCTATATTCCTTTTGTTTATTTCATGTTTAATATTTTATAAAAGTTTAGCAGCATATAAATCCACATTTCAATCTTTATACAAAAACTAGCCGGCCTTGTATGCGCAAGGCCTCGCAACGCGCTGAATGTGTACATATAAGTAAGTACATATACGCAGTAGGTGGCAACCCTATTAAAAAATAAAGCCTTATTGCACACCTAATGGCTAAGCCCTTTCATTTGACATCTTATGTTTTTAATGCAACGAACGGTGTGGATCTTATAATTTTTTATGGAGGCGGCAACTCTATTCAAAGAAAATAAAACCTTATTGCACATCTGGGGGCCAAGTCCTCTCATTTAACGACTCACTATTTAGTCCAACGAACAGCCCAAATCCTATAATTTTTCGTACAGATGGCAACCCTCATCGAAAATATAAAACCTTATTGCACATCTGAACGCCAAGCACTTTCCTTTGAGACCTAGTTCGTTTAAATGAATGAACTGCGCAAATCTGACGTAATTAATAAAAAATGCCTTCACGTATTATATGTAAGGTGGTAATTTTTAAATAGGTGGCAGCCCAACTAAAAAAATCAAAGCTTATTGCACATCTGAAGATCATATCCTTACACTTGTTTTTTTTTTTTGAATGAACTGTGAAAATCTGATGTATCTAAGTAATAAAAATGTGGTTATTTTTAAATAGATGACCTCACTGAAAAAAAATTAATGCTTTTTCACATTCGGAGACCATATCCTTTCACTTGGTATCTTATTTTTTAGTCCAACGAACGGTGCAGATATAATTTTAAGAAAAGTGGCAACCCTACTAAAAAAATATCACATTACTAAACATCTAGAGCAGTAATGGGATTTCTACGCTTTTCACATGTATATGCCCACACATTTTATTGCCGAACAAAAAAAACCAAATTCAACCAAAGAATCAGTCTGGCATAAGCTGTTGCCAAGGCATGTTGCGTTGTTTGCACGCTTCTTAGCGCGCAATTTTTGAGAAAAATTAGGTTTTGTGTTTGCGCTTTTTTGAATTCCGTAATCGTGCGCACACAACCTCCTCATTTCAACTGAAGTAATCGAAATCTTGGCTTTTCTTTATACTATGTAAGGATAAGATAGCAATTTTAAATTGGCGGCAACCCTACTCAAAAAAAAAATAAATTTTTATACATGCGAAGGTCTTGCCCTTTCATTTGGTATCTCATTTTGTTATCCAACGAGCAGTGAAGATCCATAATTTTTTCACAGGTGCAACCCTACTCGAAAAAAAAAATACATTTTTGCATATCCAGAGGCTAAGTATTTTCGTTTGATGGTGGAGGTACAGAACTGATACCTTCGCTTATTAAGATTGAATAAAGTAATTTTCCTAAAAGGTGGCAACCCTACTCAAAAAAATAAAACATTTCTGCTTATCTAGAGGCCAGTCCCTTTCATTTGACACCCCATATATTGTAATCCAACAAACGGTGAAGATCTTATAGTTTTTAAACAGGTGGTAACCCTACTCTGAAAAATAATACATTATTACGCATCTAGAGGCTAAGTTTTTTCATTTGACAGTGATGGTGCAGAACTGATGCGTACGCTCAATAGGGCTGAATATAAAAATTGTCTTAACAGGTGGAAACCCTATTAAAAAAATAAAACATTAGTGCTTTTCTAGAGGCCAATAGCTTTTATTTGACACCTCACGTTTTGTAATCCAACGAACGGTGCGGATCTTATAGTTTTTTAGACAGGTGGCAACCCTATTCAAGTTCTCACTCTCCTCCCGACACAGGGTGTATTAGAGAAAATCTCGCCAAAATCTGATCAGTAGTTTTCGAGATTACCACGTACAAAAATCCCGACTTTGCTTTATACAATGTACATATCGATTAAAAAAATTCCACAAATTTTACCAAAACAGGCCAAAAATTTCCAACTTTTTATTGAGAAATTTTGAGTATGCAGTTTTATAGCCCATTAAATTTTAGTACGATAAAGTGCAAGTTTTAAGACACTAGAAAATCGCGTTGATTTTTCACGTTTTTTTTTTTGCTGACGCTGCTAGACATTTTCTTCCATATAAAAAACTGTTAAGCATACTTAACAAAGTAAGAAACTACAGAACACCGTCAGGTAAAAACATGATTGAAAATCTAAATTTTCTGCATAAAAAGCTTGAAATTTTTGTGGGATTTTGGTAAAGTTTGTTGAATTTTTATAATTTTTTTACAAAGTTTGAAATGTGGTTTATATGATGCTTATTATATAATGCGCTAGACGTTTATAAAGAAATATTAAACATCGAATAAACAAAAGTAGTATGTATAGCCAAAACTGATCAAAATAAAAAAGTTTCTAGTATTTCATATATGCACCTAAATATGTAAAAATAAATGTGATTTTAATGTGTGATTAATAAAACTAGCAGTGAATTGTAAAACTTTTGCATCCAACAAAAGTGTACTGAAATGTCCTGATTTTTTTGCGCTTAAAAAGTTGAAAGTACTGAATTTTGTGGAAAAAAATCTGGAAACCGTGCCACTACCTTTCCTACAGAAAAATAATTTTCGAAATCGGTTGACGTGGTCCAAAGTTATACGGTAACGCAAATAAAAAAAAAACATATTCCGACGAATTGATGTCCTTCTCCTTTTTTGAAGTGGGTTAAAAATAGAAAAATTAATGAGGTAAATTGTCAAGGTTTTTTTAATAAATATATTTTAACATTCCTAATAAAATATACATTGCAAAAAAATCGGAGGGACAATATTATAATAGAAAGCCACGCTTACTCTGATAAACTTTTTCAGGCAAAAATAGATTAAAACAATAAAAGTCAACGTGGTCATTCACAAACAGTTACGCCTTTTTCCATTGTTTCTTTGTTTAACTTTTGTTCATGTTGATTATCGCTTTGTTTCATGTTGATTACACTGGTCTACAAATTTCAACTTTTTTTCTGCGAATAAGACGGGACCTGGTGTTTCTGAACGGATTTTTCGTGCTGAACACGAATCCGGGGTCAAAAATGTCCCATCAGCTCTACAATTTTTCGAAAATGTCCAAAAACGCTGTTTTTAGGGGTTTCAACCCCTTTTTTCTCGAAAACGTGACGTGATGGGAAGTTTTGGACCCCAGATTCGTGTTCAGCACGAAAAATCCGTTCGGAAACACCAGGTCCCGTCTTATTCGCAAAACCCTTGTAGACCAGTGTTATCGATAACGTGAACGGGAACAAATATTTTTATATGGAATAGTTGAAATATATCAAAGAAATACCGTTCGCAAAAGAAAACAAAGCGGCTTACAATAATAAAAAAAGAGCTTAGTTGGTGGCTTATTATTTGGATCGTATAATGCTGTTTTTGATTTTTAGTTTTTACCACCATAAAAAAATTAAAAGGGGGACACTTTGTTTGAAAATGACCCCGATATGTTAAACATTTTTGTAGTTTTTTTCAGATTTTGGTTGTAATTTTTTCAGTGGCAACTGTCGTCTGCTTCATGGCTTACAACGTTGTATACACCAATACGTATTGTTTCTTATTTCAGCGCAAAGGTTGTGTATGTTGGTGGACTGTTATTCTATAGTATCGGTATGACTCTTATGGCCTTGACTCGAGCTAAAGCGAGCGTAATAATTTTTAGTTGGACAGCGGGAGTCATGTACTCTACTTTATTTACAATGCCGTACCTTTTGGTTGCACATTACCACTCAATGGGAACGGTAAGTAAACCCATTACAAGAATATATTCCGAATATAGTACGATTTGAAATCGGTGTGATTTGCTAAATATTTCTGAATATTTGTAGTGAAGGTAATATATCTTTCAATGGAAACTGCTACAAACGGCCCTGTAGAAAAATTTAGAAACAGTCCAGTTTTGCCGTTTTAGCCTTTTGGTGGCTAGATTTAGCTACCACATACTTTTTTTGGCCACATAAATTTAAAATTGCCCCTAGCCCTTTTTTAGCCCTTTTTAGAATTTATTCATCCTTGGCCTGAAAAAGTTGTATATGCTTAATTTGTTTTTTTTTTTGCATTTATGTAAGAGATGAATTTTTAAACTAAGGAAGACAGATATATATACATATATGTATTATATGTTCCTTACGCTTTTATAAATACATACTCTAAAAGTATTGGGGCTGTTAACTTATCTGTTAACGATTTAACTATAGTTTAAAATAGATAAATTCACGGCCCTTAATATGCTAAATTTGTTAAATGACCCATCAAGTCGATTGACCGTATATGTTCTTGTGGTGTGATTGTACCAGCATGCTGGTGTCGTTAGTGGTGAAATTAGCTCAATTTTCTAAGTAAAAAGTATTTTGGCGGAAATTTCTTGCACTATATGAGTCAAAGCCATGTTTGTGGAAGATTAAGTTCACGATATTGCAGTTGTGAATTACAAAAACAAACAATGTTTAACAAAATGCCAGAAAAATTATGAAATTTCGGCTCTAATCATTCAAAATTCTATATCTTCTTATTAGATGCCGGAGAGTCTATTTCACCATGCAGCGAAACAAAGGTGGCGCCTTCCGCGGACTGCTAATCCTCTCTTTCTCGATTAGACAGCATCCACCTTTACGCTGACGTCACATTATTATTTTTTCGCACTAGTGATGAATATTAAATTTTCATATTGTACCTATTTGCCGAAAGGTTGTACCTAAACAGTAAACATGTATTTTTGTGTGCATATATTTTTGATAGTTGGTGAACTACATCTTCCTTCTGTACCATAACACCTTTTGGACTTACATGAAACAATATTTTATTACGTTCCAAATGTACCTAAAATAATGTGCTTGTACCGAATGCACGTTACAATTCAACCTAGTTTTACATCACTAGTTTGCACCACTTGTTCGCTTCTTCCTCAATTATTCTTTACACTCGATTGGCGCAATCTTGTATTCTATCATTCTTGAGTCTATGTATTACATTTCAATACATTTAATGCAATTTAACGCTGAGTTTTCTCTAATAAGCATTCAATATATCACAATTTTTCTAATTTTTTCCCACAACTTAATTCAGATTTTTAATTATACGCATCACAGAAATAGACATTATTAAATTATTATTAATTATTTTTAAGAAAAACGGTTTTAGAAAATGAAGGAATAACTGACACTTTATTCTCCTAATTTTAAAGCATAGTTTGCCTCAAAAAGTAAATTAGTGCAAAACAAGCAGCTCTTTAATCATAAAATGAAGTATTTTTTATTTACAAAATTGTATGCGTACTTATTTAGTTACAGAATTTAAAGAAAACTACCATATATGTACATACATACTATACTTCTTGGAGCCAGCGCAAAACTAACCACATTTGTTATAGCCCGGAGGTGGCCCTTTTTGAACTTTCTTGGAACTGTTGTTATATGATCTGTCTCAGAACCATCTAAGCCAGACTCAGTTCAGAACATGTTCAAAAGTTCTGCAGAGGGCGACAATTGTCGCTTCGTAGGATATCGCCATGTTAAAAAAGACGGTTGAAAGCATTGAGTTGGGATAGATGAAGAACCAGTACCGTCCTTTTTCAGGCAAGCTCGGCGCAAGTTCTGAACCAGTTTGACTTGCTGCAGGGACATCATATACGGCACTACCACAAAGAAGGGTTAGCTAAAACTGAGAAACTGTTGCGTTCTCATCGTTACGCTCTTGCTTGTATACGTACAGTGGTTACCAGCGTTACAGGCTAACCTAATATTCACGCACGCCGCCAATTTACTGTCAAAAATTTCTCATGCACATACAACTTGTATGGGACCAACCGAAATTGAACGGCGTGCGTATGAAGCTAACTCAATTTCCAATTTTTGTTCTGCGTGACATTTTGATTTGACGTTTCGCTCAATGAAATCAAATGCAAACGCACGCAAGCCAATTTCGGGTGACGCAAAAAAACAAATTCGACGGCGTGTGTACCAAAACGCAAGCCGCGAATATTAGGTTAGCCTGTTAGCACTTTGCTACGATCGTCAAGAATGATAGAATACAAAATTGCGCCAATCGAGCTGAGAGCAACTGGGTGTGACGTCACATTATTTTGAGAATGAGAGTGTAAAGAATAATTTTGAAGAAGAAGAGGATGAAGCGAGCAAGTGTTGCGAAATAGTGATGTAAAACTAGGTTGAATTGTACATACCTACTCTTCAGCTTATTAAATTTGAACATACATTCGACACAAGCACATTATTTTAGGTACATTTGGAATGTAGTAAAATATTGTTTCATGTAAGTAGAAAAATTGTTATGGCACAAAAGGAAGATGTAGTCCACCAACTACCAAAAATGTATGCACATAAAAATACATGTTTACTGTTTCGGTACGTATACCACTTTTATGTACAACTTTTTAGCAAATTGGTACAATATGAAAATGAATTATTCATCACTAGTGCGAAAAAATAATAATGTGACGTCAGCGAAAGGGTGGATGCTGCCAAATCGAGAAAGAGAGGACTAGCGGTCCGCGGAAGGCGCCACCTTTGTTTCGCTGCATCGTGTACGATCGTAGTAAATTTTAATTTAAAACTTGCTACCCCACTACGCTGTATCCTATTTTTACTGAGCTTTTTAGATTTCATTCAAATTATGAGCAGCAACTATTTGTAAATCCCTATAACTTCAAAACTATAGTAAACAGGCCATGGCTTCAAGATCGAAATGTATATCTACCCTTACTGCAAATTGTGCAAGAAGCATCTGACCAAATATATCTGCAACATAAATATGCACCACCGCACGTAAAGTAAAAGTGACGATTTAGCTGGGCAAAAATCGAAAATTGCGATAATATTTAATATCTATAAAAATACGTATAAACGTTCCTTAATATTTGACTAACTAAGGGACAGAAACAGCTATGAAGCAACGTTTTGCATTATGTTACTAGAGTACCTTTAACTTGCCAAATGCATATCGTGTGCACAGGCACCTCAATCGGTCATACTCGGTAGGCCTGAATTAATTATAAGTAGTATGTGCGGATGTAACTTTTTAAAATTATTTGTATATTAAAGAAGTAAGTTTTTTATTTTTTTCATTAGTTTGCGTGTAACACTTCTATAAAAATAACTATAAAATAATTATTCCGTAGATAATAAAAAAAAAAATACCCCGGAGTACCCTCATTTGATTTTTATAAAAACACTAGCAGACCCGGCGAACTTCGTCCCGTCAAAATTTATTTTTTTTACTCAAATATTTTTCTCCAACATTTTCACCAACAATTCACGTTTACGATTTCCAGTGATACATTTATTTGCTAATATTACAGTTTGGTGGTTGTCAGTTTGGTGGTGTTATTTGCTAATATTACAGTTGTGGTGGCATATTTCCATTGTCGTCTTTAATAACCTAACGAAAGTGTATGTTCGTGAAGAAGTTCTTGAAATTCTCCAACTTCTCCATTCACTCCCTGGCAGCAGCAATGATCCGGTTCGATGATGAATCTGTCCTTGAAACTGTATGGTATAGTTGGCGGCAATTTAAAAATTGGTGAATATCGTTGTTCTACAGAAATCCAATATTCACAGACTTATTTCTGTCGAAATACCTTAAAGCTCTTATCAAGGAGCGCAATGGTTCTGATGGTAGATTTAATGCTGGTCATTTGAGATTGACCCCTGAACAACTCAGTCCTGATGTATCCGAATGAAGCTCGCAAATCACGCTCATTGGGCCTATCGGAACGCACGGGAGCTCGGCATACTCCGTGGTACAGCACGTCGATGCAATCGGACATTCACGGCACGTTTTCTCACTAGACTAGAGTACTTGACTACATTGAACACACCGAGAAATATGCGGTATGAAAATCTCGATTTGTATGAGAGGTGCCACGCCCCTTTTCCAATAACATCAATATAACATATGGCTACCCTATCCAAATTTTTTTCTATATAAAATTTTTATGCATTATCAGTGAAATATAATTATTGCGGCCTTTTTAAATTTAATTTGTTTTATATTTCAGATATCTGGCAACACCGGTTTTCAACTTTTTCTTTACAAACCTTCTACAGACAGAGGGAAACAAAATTAAATAAAAATTAAGCAAATCTGTTGAGCCGTTCTTGAGTTATGCGATATCACACGAACTAATTAATTTTAATATGTAAAGATTTTTTCGAGTGGTGGCAACCCTATTCAATTTTTATTTTTTTTTTTATACATTCTCAGTAAAGTACACTATTGCGGCTTATGTAAATTTATTTTTTTTTTATTTTAAATATGTGGCAACACCGGTTTTCCAATTTTTTCTTTACATTCATTCTACAGACAAAAATACACAAAATGAAAATGAATACACAAAATGAAAAGCGAAGCAAATCCCTTAAGCCGTTCTTGAGTTATGCGATAACACATGAAACCAATCCATTTTTACATATAAAATTTTTTTCGAATAATGGCAACCCTACCAAATTTTTTTCTGAATTGTTTTTTTTTTATACATTCCCAGTGAAATACCTTTATTTCGGCTTATTTATATTTAATTTTTTTTCTGATATTGCAAATATCTGGGAACACCACTTTTCCAACTTTCTCCTTACAAACCTTTTGCAAACAGAAAGACACAAAATGAAACAAAAACGAAGCAAATCCGTTGAGCCGTTCTTGAGTGGTGCGATAACATATGAAAGCAATCCATTTTTATATATATACTTTGTTTTCGAATGGTGGCAATCCTATCCAATTTTTTTCC